GGCCAGATTTGTTTGTTTGATATGTTTCGGTCAATGCAGAACTCCTTTAATGGAGGAAAGTTGGCGTCAAGAGAAACCTGTGAAAATTTCTTTTCGCACTTTTTCGCCGAGAAACCAGAAAAGTTTCACACTGACGGAAAAATGTCTCTAACGGGAAAATTGCACTTAAGTTCATTATAAATATAAAAACAATAAGTTGAAATTTGACTAAAAATACGAAAACACTTTTTCGACTGCCAAATACATTCTCTTTAAAAATTCGTATAACTCAGACACTTCGAATATATTTATGAATCGAGGAAAAATAAACGAAATCCTAACCAATTTGACTTTGTAGGAAATTATTTGAAAAATTCTTCTCAAACTTTTTTGTCATGCTTAGAGAACTGTAACTAACTCAATTAGATATCCTTCACAAAATTGTTTTATTGCACTGCCAAATAGTGCATGACCTCTACATCAGAAGGAATGAACGGAAAGTAAGAGTCACTTCAAAAATTGCGCACTTAAATTCAACAACAATTGAATTTTTAATTAACTCGACCGCCCAGCACTCGGCCTCCGGCCTGCCCCCAGACTGCTGTGGCAAGATATTTAAAAGCCAAGCAAGTTTATGATTTATTGCGAATTCCATATCATATCCCATATTTTACATGGAAATTAAGTGCCTGTGATAACCACTATGCATATTCATTTACTCTCATTTACCATACATATACACTATATGTGTATGTTTGTAGTGTGTGTGTGTGCGTGCAAGTATATGAAGCTGAAAATGCAGGCGAAAAATTCCTTCTGTTAACTAAAAAGTCGTTCATCAATTATTGAAATTCACTCAGCTGCACACGTTAACACAGCCACACTACATACATACATACAAACATTCATACTGCCATGATTGCCATATTTTTGCAATTAAATGCAGTAATTACGAGTTATGCTTTGCTTATTAAATGACAGCAAATATGCACAACGACAAACAATAAGAACAATCGATTTGCAGAGCTACGCACGCACACATGCACGCATACGTTATATACCTGTGTATTTGCAGAATATTTCATTTGGCCATCAATTATTTACTCATTTTAAAATATACCGTTAACTTTTACTGTTAAATGCTTATACCGTATATCGTTTGCACAATTAAATAACTGTTGCACAAACTGAAATTTCCCATTACAAGTGCTGAGTATGCGACTGCGATTCGCGGTGGCAAACTGGAATGCCAAGTGTTAATGAAAATATAATAATGTAAATGCATTTTGATATTTCGTAACAATTTGGTTAACTTTAATAAAGTGCTAAATAGAGTTGGCAACACATTTGCTGTAATTCTCAAAATATAATGATTATGTATATAATTACAGTTATATTCAATTTTAGAAAGTTTTGCATACTTCTGGTAATGTCTGATTACCTCTAAGGTCTTCACCCTAACCAACGACATGTTCTCTATAAATATGTCAAAAGCAGTCAAAAAGCGATCATCAAACTGAGCTTTGTAATGGACAAAAATTCATAAAACGAGTGATCAAAGTAGAAGTATTTTTTAGCCTTCTTTTGACAGATCGCTCGGGAGTCGTGTTAAGCTCTCTTATTTATCTGTTGTCTTTTTAAGTATTCTTTGACATCATAGAAAGACATCAACTTATGGTCATCACAATCGGCTTTCTGAGCGTAATATTACGACCCATCATCCATCTTGAGACCCAACATTCACTATTGAGTAATATTCGACCGAATAGATCACGTCCAGCACTCAGTGGAGAAAATATTGCAACCGTTGCTGAGAGTGTACACGGATATCGTAGAGAGTCGATTCGACACTGTTCGCAGCAACTCGAACTAACATATGGACGGCTTGGCTCTTTTTCCGTAGAGATTTTAAATTGAAAGCGTACAAAATACAGCGTGTGCAAGAAGTGAAGCCGCTATACTTTTCCAAGTTACATCGCTTTGCCCTATGGGCTCCTAAAAAGTTAAAAGAAGCCCCGACGTTTGTTTAGCGATGAGCAACGGTTTGGTATGGTTGGTGGCCGATAGAATCATCGGTCCATATTTCTTCAAAAATATATCGGTGGAAATGTAACCGTCAGTGGCGACAGTTATCGCGTCATGATGTGATGCCTGTCCACTATTCGATGTCTCATATTGAAGTTCGTGATGTCGGCGACATTTAGTTTCAACAAGACGGCACCACTTCCCACACATCATTTATTGAGAGAACACTTCGATGAGCAGAAAATTTCACGTTTTGTGCCGTTCGTTTGGCCACCAAGATCGTGTGATATCACACCGTTAGACTTTTTCCTGTAGAAATATGTAAAGTCCTAAGTCTATGCGGATAATCCCGCTTCGATTCAGGCTCACATCATGCGTGCCATTTGCCAATCGAACGATTCATTCAAAATTGGACTCAACGGATGGACCATATAGACGTAGCCGGGCCAACATTTGAAAGAGATAATCTTCAAAAAATAAMTGCCAAAGAATATTCTTTCAAATGATAATAAACATTCTCCATTGAATTTGAAGTTGCTGTGTATTTTCTTTAAAAAAGTAGGGGGCTTCGAAATGGATCACCCTTTACTATATGTACGGTATATTAATAGATTGGTAGCATAATGTAAACTTTAATAACTGTAACCACGATCGATTTACAGTGCTGTTTGACAAGATTTGTGGTATTCAAATTTTAACATTTCATCTGTTGAGTCAAAGTTTGTTTTTTAGGGTCTGATTATAATCAAATTCAAGTGAAGTTTGTGTTACCTACTTACCTTTTCATCTACCTGTATATAGTCGAACTAGTCCCTGAGTTTATGAGATATCAATCTGAAACATCGCACATATTCTTTTCTTCCCACGAAGCTGCTCATATGACTGCTGTACAAGCTGAATGATCAAAATCATGTTCTTGGTGGAACGGCGAAATCTCTTCACCAAATTAGGCAAACGTACACTATTCAAAGGACAAAGTATAATCCCTGCCTTTCATTACCTTACAGAGTAACACTGTAATTGTAGTAAAACTGCTATAGTATCGAATCCGCTTTAAAAAAAAAACATTTTTGAGCCTGGTACTCACATCGAAGCACAAAATCGGGAGGCATTTAGGTGGGTTTTAATGTTACTTAACTGAAATTAAAATAAAGTGTTAAAAAATCAAATCACTAATGAATACACGTTTATTTATTTCAATTGTAATTGAAATCGTTTCAAATTTACTAATATTAGTTTATTTCAACCTTTATAAATTTGAAATTATTATTATTCAAAGATGCACATCTCCAATCACTCAGTTATAATCTAAACCGAAATAATTCCATTTCACATAGAAATGTTATTTGATACTTTCAGAAGTTCTTACATAATATCCCTCAGACCGATTAATACTTGCATATATATGAATGTGTGTGTGTGTGTATGTTTTACTCTAAATACTTCACTTACACTCACTTTTATTTGCATTTCAATTAAATTGCTCATTTTTATTGATTTCATTTCAACCTTTGGCAGTAATCATAGAAAACTCGTTTACTTCACATTTTAGTTTTAGAATTAAACTAAATTAATTTATTTCCATTGCAAAGCAAGGCAGTGCGAAATTACAGTACCCAAAATAATATTGAAGCGCTTGAAGCTTAAAAGCTGTCAATGCAGGATGAATGTGCGAGTGCAGCATTCATTTCAAGTCTTACAAACAAGCATACGTGCGTTTGTATGTACATAAGTATATTCGGTTAGAGTAGTAATAAGCGGGGGTAGTGTAGGGCCTGACTATTTCAATGAATTGCAAGAGTTGAAATCGCACTTAAAATTTAACCCAAGTCCAACCACACAAATGAACTGAGCATATTCTTGACCACTGAGTTGCTGCCAGAGTTCAAGCACTTATTATGATTTTTCCTGAGTTTAGTATTTTTTCGCTATTGACTACTGACCCCAAATACTAGTCTATCCTGGAACAATTGTTATTGTTATTGGAATTTTCGAAACTGAAAAAGTTACCAAATCTGCTTGGATTCATTAGTTTTAAGTTGTAAATTTTTAGTTTAGGGTGACCCATTTCGAGGTTCTTTAATTTTTAAAGAAAAATCACAGAAACTTCAAATTTAATAGGAAATATTTTGGTATTAATTTTTGGAAGATTATCTCTTTCAAATGTTGACCCCGGCTACGTCTCAGATGGTTCATCCATTGAGTCCAATGATGTTTTGCTTCAAGGCCTGAATCGAAGCGGGATTGTCGGGATTTATTTCATATATCCCCACAGGATATCACAAGGTCTTGGTGGCCAATCGACCGGCCCAAGACATGAAATTTTCTGTTCACCGCAGTGTTCTCTCTATAAATCCATTGATTGATGCAATGTGTAGTAAATGGCGCCGTCGTGTTGAAATTAAATGTCGCCGAGATCAGGAGCTTCAATTTCAGGCATGAAGTAGTCGGTTGCCATGGCGCGATAATGGTCACCATTGCGATTACGTTCTCACCGATAGGTATATGATTTTTATTAAAAGCTCTTCATCAAATACTCAGTTTGCAGATACTGTGAAAATAATTTTCACCTTCTTTCATTGGTTTTTTTTTTGTTTTTTTTTTTTTTTTTTTTTTTTTTTTTTTTTTTTTTTTTTTTTTTTTTTTTTTTTTTTTTTTTTTTTTTTTTTTTTTTTCAGACACTGAAAGCTTGGATTCATGAAAAACGATAAAATTTTAACCTGTAAATTTGAGCCTAGTTTATATAAGAATTTATAAAAGATATACTTTCAAGTACTCTGCCAATGGAAAACTGAGGTTTTTCATAAAACAAAAAAGCTTTTAACTTTTGATATGTGCAATACATTTTTTTTGTGATATTTTTCCGATGCTCAATAAATTCAAATACTCAAAATCGCAGTAACACAATTTTTTATTCAATTTAAAATATTTTCTAACCTACTTAACCAGCCATATATTAATGTTTAAGTAAGATGTTAACTAATTTTCGCCGCCGTAATGGGCGCTTATGTAATACCCAAATTATGAAGTAAGCGCTGCTCGACGAGCTCACCCTCCGCCTCGAGCATTTGTGCAGTGACCGTGTTGACGAGGTTGAACGCAATCGCGAATGTCATAAAAGCCGCATAGACGCTCAGCGCCAGCCACCACAGCGTTTTCGATGATGGCGCGTAAGGACCGTCGAAGTTCTTCAGCACCAGCAGACCTATTGTGAAGCCCGCCAACGCGCCACTCAGATGAGCCACATACGAAATTGTTGGTGTGCTTTTAACTATTGCATGCGCAGCATTGTTATTGCTGTTGCTGTTGTAATACTTATTGTAGAGTGCATAACAGAGATCACAGGAAACTGTTGAAATTATTTGGAATGAAAGTGAAAAACAAAAGCAAATAAATTAATTAAAAATTGTGTTAGATAGATTTATGGCGCTTCAGTGTTGCATGAAGAACTGCAATTTCATGAGTGTGTGCGGCAGAGTGTATATACATATGCATGTGTATGTGTCTGTGTGTAACTACGGTTAATTTCGAAAATTTGTAAATTAGTATGCTCTTCTCACAATTAAATTGGAATTATGGTAATTATGTATTATGTGTGCATAAATCGCTGATGACGACCTTAACAAAACGAAGCCGAAACCGAAACACAATCGCTTACCGAATACGACGATGCGCACCAGTTGCCCCACACCGTAGCGCATTTGACCGAAATTCAGCAGAGTATTCGCAAAATATGCGGCCAGTAGCGCATAGACGCCCCCGCTGGCACCCACCAAATAGACATCCGAGTCGACGACACTGGTGCCCAGCGAGCCGGCAAATACGCCAGCCAAATAGATGATGGCAATGCGCGCCGAACCGTGCACCCACTCCAAGGGCAGCCCGTACACCAGCTGCGTGGCCACATTGAAGCTCAGGTGGAACCAATTCGCGTGCAACAGCATGTAGGAGACAAAACGCCAAATCTCCAGACGACGATCTGGCCGATAGATAAGCAACGACTCACTCGCTGCGAACGGTTTGTTCGCACTGACGTCTGGGGCCCTCGTAAACGGCAATGCTGTCACAGACATTTTGACTGTCATGTAATCGTAGACGAAGACGGCAATCTGTAAGTTGTAGAAAAAGGAGAAGAAACGCACAAATGAGTGGCAGAAGAAAACGAAGATGCTTCAAAGATGTTGAAATTGAAGACGATTGTTGTTTGTTTGCTTTGCAATATCGTTGGGAAATCTCCGATGAATGTGGGAAATTCATTTTGTTACGCAAAGTGCGCGCTTATTGTCCATTGTCTAATTGTTAAGTACAGTTATACAGTTACGAAACTCAATTTGATATGTACTAGAGCATAGAGCTGGAGCGCAATGTAGTTGACTGACAATTTAAACTTCGCAATGGAGAACCCAGCGTTCAACTCCGATTTTTGTAGTTTATTGTGAAAAGGAAGAAGTTTATTAAAGGAGGTATTCGCAGCAAGAAATCTATTTATGTGATATTTTTCGATCTATAAACTATCGCCATTATTCACTCTTAATGATAAAATAAGAAACAAAATACCATGTCAAAGTCTATCACACAATCCGATAAGTGAGCCGACGTGAGCCTACGTGATCCCAGCGGGCGATCCGGTAATTTTGATATCAAAGACACACCAAGCTCTGGAACACCAATTGTCGAAAATATCTATAAGGTAATGAAAATCGAAAGATCAACCGTCTAGAAATCAGTGTTAAGATTGCCGAGGAACTAAACATGGCACAAAGAACCGTTTGATATCACTTAAATAAGACTGCATATGAAAAGATGAACGATTTATCGGTGCAACAAAAGTTAATGCAAAAAGAAACGAACAAACCGGATTTCCATTTGCGAATTGCTGCTGAAGGTTGGTTGAGGGCGGCGAAAAGTGGCCGGTGAAAATAGTAGCCAGTCCAGGAATGAATTATACTGTCAATAATTGGACCCACTAAAGTAAACAATATCCCAAAAATGTCCATCTTTGGCCAATAGGATTGTGTTCCACATCTCCAAAAGTTCCGTGGGCTTGAATAGGATGTTTCTAGGCATCCACTTTATAGTCTGGACCCGACATCAAGTGATTACTACCTGTGTCTGTTTATGGCGAATGATTTTGCTAATTTTTCTCAAGAGAGTCTCATGTAAAACGACTCTCAGTCTTTTGTCAATAAAGGCAAAGGTATGTATGAGAGTGACTTTAAGAAATTAACTTCAAAATGGCAATAGTTCGACAAAAAGCTCGAAACAACATTCGCTCATAGCTACTTAACTATTTACGAGATACGCGAGGGAAATTCAACCGAGGTAGCGCATGGTTAACACAAGCAGTACCATTTACTGAGTTTAACAAATAGTCAATGGAGAATAGAGTCATTTATAGAAGTTCACGAAAGTGAGGAAAGCTCTCTGATCACCATTCATTTGGGAGTGGCCAGAAGCGATGCTTTTACATATGGCTGAAGTAGCTCACTCTCACTCTTGTAGAACCCCCAAAAGTGATCTAGTCACCGATGCCCAGAGCATACTTAAATTATGGAGGGAACACTTCTCCAGCCT